CTGACTTCACACAGTGTCAATAATATTTAAAGCAAATTTAAAATAATAATAATACGTTTATAAAAATAACCAAAACCTATGAATATAAAAATTATGAATAAAAAAAAAATTCTAACAACAGTTAACAGTGATGCAATTTTTAAAAGGGACAGAGTAATTCTGTTTATTTTACGACATCAAATTGGGTTGGAGAGGCGGTTGGAGGGGTGATTTTGCTGCTCATATATATATATATATATATATATTACAAAAGGAAGCCGCGAAGCGCGCCTTCTGCGCACAGTCACATCCCGTGAGATCCGAAAGATAGATCTAGTGGCCTTCAGATGTGACGTCGCTGCCATCAGGTGCAGTGAAGAAGACACTGTGACAGACTGCAACAGTGGCCTCAGAGTCCTTTTAGACAAACATGCCCACCACTGTCCACACGGTGTGTTACGGACCGCCCTTCCGCCCCATGGCTCAGGCTCAAAATATAGGGCGCGAAGCAGAAGCAGCGACGTGCACAACGCAAATGGCGGAAGTCGGGCTTGACCGTGCACCGACACATCTTTGTTGATTACAAGGAACAAACCAAGAAGTTGGTCCTCGCAGCTAGGGCTGAATATGTCAATCATCATGTTGTAGATAGTGGCTCAAGTAGGGACTTATTTCGTATTGTTGGTCAGCTGACCGGTAAACAGAAGGACACATCGTTGCCAAATAACATTGCCGTAGGCGAGCTGTCACATGCCGTAAATCAGTTGTTTTTTTTATTACGAAAGTAAGGATAATCAGAGCGAGACTTGACCTTTGCACCGATGCTCCCGATTTTTTTCCGTTTAACGGCGCTCCTATGAGCGAATTTTTGGAGGTCACTGAATAGCATGTAAAAAAAATCCTGGTTGAGTTTGCTCGAACCTCTCCCGGCAGGGCTGTTGTACGAAGGTTTGGATGAAATAGTCCCTATCATAAATAGTATCATAAATCAGTCTTTGAAAACCGGTATTGTTCCATCTTCTTCTAAAGAGGCGGTTGTAACTCCACTGCTAAAGAAAGCAAATCTCGACCCAAGTATGTTGGATAATTATCGCCCCGTTTCAAATCTACAGTTTGTACACAAAATTTTAGAGAAAGTCGTTCTCCGCCAGCTCATGAACCACCTCACTCAGTGTGGCTTGTTTGATTCTTTCCAATCAGCATACAGGGCGCATCAATTTACAGAGATAGGACTGTTGCGCGTCGTAAATGACCTTTTGTCGTCTTGTGGTGAGGTCGTTACTTGATCTATCGGCAGCGTTTGATACGCTTGACCACGGCATACTTCTCCGGCGTCTGCAAAAAAGTTCGGTTTTACCGATACCGTCCTGAGATGGCTCCGCTCGTATCTGACAAATCAGGTCCAATCAGTTATCGCAAACGGCTTGATCTCGAAGCAATCTGTTATCGAATTCAGAGAACCACAGGGCTCGGTCCTAGGCCCGGTGCTTTTCACTATGTAAGTTCATCCTCTGGGTGAAGTGATCAAGCAGTTTGACATGCTCTATCACATGTTAGCGGATGATACCAAACTTCAACAAACAGTCTGTAATCCCCTCTCAGTTCCAGCAGCTTCTTAGTATGACACAGAAGATAGTAGAGTCAGTTAAGCACTGGATGGCTATAAACAAGCTCAAATTGAACGACGAAAAGATCGAGCTGATCCCATTGCTACCGCTCAAAAACTAAAATCTGTAAATAACACAGCATCCCTTACTATCTCAGGTAGATAGATTGAATTTGATCAAACAGTGCGAAACCTGGGTGTCTACTTGGATAGATCACTAACTATGGAAAATCAAATTAACATGCTTTGCAAGGCGATTTTCAAGAATTAATCATATCAGACCTTTCTTAACGTTTGATGCAACAGTGAGACTGATGTCTGCCTTCGTGCTATCACGCGTGGACTACTGCAATGCTCCCATGGTGGGTCTTCCAGCTACTCTCCTGGATAAAATTGAAAAAGCACAGAATAATGCGGCTCGCATTGTTCTTTGGAAACGCAAATTTGACCTTGCTAAAACACTTTTGAGACAGTTGCATTGACTGCCGGTACGCGCTCGCATAGAGTACAAAATTGCAACTCTGTGCTACCGCTGCTTGTATGACATGGTACTATCCTATCTCAAAGCCCTGACGCTCTCATAAACAGCCAGACACTGGAGTCGTTCAAAACCGAATTGAAGGCACATCTATTTCGCAAACACCTGCTGATGTGATGTTGTCTACCATCTTTTCCAGCTGGCTATTATCTCCTAGATGCATATTGATCTGTGTTGTTTATGTTTGTAAGGTATGAAAGAATTAGGTTAACTACCATGAGTTGCTGGGAGCGGCTTGGTGTTCGTTACGTTATTGGCACGAGCCGCTGGTGGCGCCAATGTTATTATCGTAGTAAATCGAGTCAAATATTAATTTATATTATTCCGTTCCCGTTTGGCATCGAGATTTTAATTTACCAACCGGATGTTTATATTCCAAACGCGTGCTATCGGCAGAATGTTTTAAAAAAGGAAATGTTAATTAGTTTTGGTTTTATTTATTTGCTAGTTACAAAATAGAACATGGTGACCGCGGCAACAACTGATATGGTGGTAAATTTTGAGAGAGATACCCGGGGATCCCCAAGCATGGCCGCCATCTTTGTTGACATGATCCGCGAGAAGGTCACGGATCATGTCAACCAAGATGGCGGCCGACCCAAAAAAAAAAAGCACAATAAGACGACAGCAGTGACAGTGACGTAATATTTAATCATACCTTTCTAGATCTGCATGATTTTCAAGTACCATATACGAAAATTAATTTCTCTATTTTTCATCAATATTTCTAACATTTTGACAATTCCACACTCTCTGCATGAATTTCAAAAACATAAAATTTCAGTTTTAAAACCATAAAATTTAACTTTTCTTTGAATCTTCGTTAATTATTCACACGAAATCTTGTTCCAACCGGTTATTAAAATATTCCTTCGCCGCCAC